AGGTTAAAGGAAGTTCTCCAAGCAGAAGGAAAATACCAGTTACAAAATGAGATCTACTCAGGAGTACTTAGATTTTTTTTTCCTTACTGATGTTGATTTTCATTTTTAATTTTCAGGTTTGGAGCTATAATACTGCTATCTAAGCAACTGAAGCAACAATGAATATACATTCAGTCAAAAAGGTTTCCCTTCACCAGTTTTTCTGACATGATTACCACTCTCGGTATATAGAGCTGGGTGATAAAGTAAAAGCTCGAAGAATGATTTGCTATTTTAGTTCTTAACACACCTGCTAAAATTATACCAGACTAAAGATGTTCGGAAAACATCACATAAGAGAAGTATGTTTCTTACCATCCTACGTATGGTTTTGCTACATCTTGGCACTCAATTTACCCCTCTATGAACACATCAGATTTTATAACGCAAGTCAGGAAGAAGTTGAACCTCCTAGAATTCAGAAACACCCCATACTCTTTATGTCAAAGGCTTATACTCATTTTAAATTTTCATGAATCTTACCTATTGAAGCCAATAGGACATAAATTAAAGAACTACATCCAAATAATACCCCCTCCCATGCTCTACAAATCACTTACATTTTTCAACTTTTTCCCTCAGTCTTTTACAGGGTGTACAAAAAAAAAACAAAAAACAATTCACATATGCTATGGGTGAAAGTATAACAAAAGGTACAATATTTTTGGAGATCAATTGGTACCACCTATCATCAGGGACAAATTACATTTCAGAGAATTTATCTTACATATAATGCAGTACAGGTGCCCAAAAAAATCTATGCACAAAGATATTCTCTGCACCAATATGTTTGACAGTTAAACTGCAAACAATACAAACACCCATCAAAAAGGGAGTGGTTAAATAAACTGTGGTACAACCATGTTATATAATACTACACAGCCTTTAAGAGGAATGAGATAATCTACATGCACTGATATGGAAAGATAGACACAAGATGTTAAGTGAAAAAGTTAAATAACAGCTTGTACAATATTAGTCTATTTGTAAGAAAGAAAAAAATTGTTACCCTATCCCTTCTAGTTGTATATTCACAGAAAAAGACATCATCAATTTGTTTATCACAGCTGTTTCTGGGGATATGAGGATCCCCAGAGATACATTTTCCTTCAGAAAAATCAATATTTTTGTTAAAAAGCATGCATTATTGTTAATAAAAACTTTAATAAGAAACAAAATATCCAAAGGCTAGTTTCTAGTAAAAGAGAAGTGAAAGAACAGAAACATGGTTAAACTTAAACCAGGTAATCAGACCTTAATAAATTAGAAATTTATAGAATTAGAAATTTAGAAAATTCTTAATGTTAGGTTGTAAATATAAAAAATACATGCTTAAGGAAAAACACTCACAATTAAAACATGATGAACTAAAAAGTCCCATTTATCATTCTCTGCCCCACACTCTCTCACCAAATATGAGAAGGGAGTATGATTGTTACAAAATGACTATTCATTCTAAAATGTTCAGTTAGATTAAGCAAACCAGTTTTTCCACATGCACATCAAAACAAATCAGTAAAACTGGCTTTGAACACAAGGAAAAATGGCAGTTGTCATGAATCTGTTTAAAGAAATGAAGCTTATGATCTTTATTTGCTCTACTATAAAATCCCACAATTAAATGTTTAGCTTCTTGAACAGTGTTTCTCATAAACCAGAGAAATCAAATTATAGTCCTGTCTCCACTGATCCAAGAGAAAACTTTTTCTCCTGATAAGCATGCCCAATGCCTACACGGCTAAAAATAAAGGTGACAAAATTACAACTGAAAAATAATTGCAAGGAACTTCAAAATAATTACTACTGGTTCTGTATGCATAAAATTAAGAAAAGATGGATAGCACAATTAACCAGAGTAAGAAGGATCACATGGGAATCAACAGACCTTAATGGAAAGTTTAACCTTTTACTTGAATGAGGCAAAGGCTACAGTTTTGTAGTTTTCCCAAGAAAATTGGGACACTTAATAGCTATTTAGAGAGAAAGAACTATGAATTGCATTATAAAAAGATAAAGACTGTTTCATCAGAGAATTAATTTACTATGTGAATCTGTTAATTAAAATATGATACTCGGGCCGGCCCTGTGGCTTGGTGGTTAAGTGCGCGCGCTGCAATGCTGGCGGCCCGGGTTCGGATCCCGGGTGCGCATCGAGGCACCACTTCTCCGTCCATCCTGAGGCCGAGTCCCACATACAGCAACTAGAAGGATGTGCAGCTATGACATGCAACTATCTGCTGGGGCTTTGGGGGGAAAAAATAAAATAAATAAAATCTTTAAAAAAAAAAATAAATAAAATATGATACTATGTTAAGAAAAAATAGAATAAACCACAACTCCCAATGCTTAAATCTCTAATAACTAAAATAAACCTACACCATGGAAAGGCTTGCTATTAGCGTTTTACACAATTCACAAATATTCTTTGAGCATTACTGAGTACTGCTCTAGGCACTGGAGCTCCACCGCAAATAACAAGATCTCTGCTCTCACGGAGCTCACGTTTTACCAGACAAATAAGACACAAAGTGAATAACGGTAAGAGGCTTCTTGGAGGACATGATATTTCAGTTAAGACCTGAATGACAAGAAAGACACAGCCATGTGACAATCTGGGATCAGAACTCTCCAGGCAAGGGCAATACAAAGTACGAGGATAGTATAAAAAATTTTAATGGATTGTCTCTAAACTAATTTCTTTCAATAAAAGGCATTATCTATTGATTCCTATGTGCACCACAGTTCGAAAACCACTAGTTATAAAAACGATCAACTGCAAATAAATGGCATGAAATGATCAGGACAGGATTAAAATGAGAATAACATTGGTTCATAATAACAATCAGTTTATTGATGCTAATTATATTCTATGCACTGTGCTAAATTATATAGTCTCATTTTCAGGCTGAAGACACACTGTGAGACATCCACATCATTTGTAATTAACAATATTTAAACTAAGCTTGTGATAGAGTAGGTCAAAAAGTGGTTGAACAGATGAAGATACTAAGTTTTTCTCTTAAATAATATAAAACTTAAAATACCAAGCTAGCATTTCACTTTTTGGATTTCCAAAAATGTTCAAGACTCATAACACCTGAGGTTGGTGAGAGCAAGACTGAAGGGATGTTCTCATTCAATGTAGTTGTGCCATAAATTGGTTTAACTTTTTTTGACAGCAAATTATCACTAGCTACCAAAATTTACAATGCGTATATTCTGCGAATTTACTACACAGAGTCCCATACGATAGCACAAAATTACACACAAAAATGTTCATTATATACTGCTTATAGTAGCAAAAAACTACAGACAGTCCCAATGTCCATCAATAAAGGATTAAATAAATAAATCATGAAATATCTACAATACGGAATATTGTGCAGTGTTAAAAAAAGTAATAAGGCAAATTGATGCAGACTGAAATGAAAAAATGTCCAATACACAGTGTAAAAGGAATATTGCTTAAGTTTGTATATAATTCTTTTTGTGCAAAAAAAAGTGTGTTTATAAATAATGTATGGAAACATACGTTTGTATATAGAAACAACAGAAAATATCTAGAAGGATATATACTAAGCTGTTACCAGTAGTTTCCTCTCTTAAGACTAGGATTCGTGAGGGAGGAGAGAAGAGAAAGGGCAAAACAGAGACTTCTTTTTAAATTTCATCAACATCCGTATTATTTGTTTTTCCCAAATAGTGAACATAGATTACTTCAGAAAAACTTTTTTAAATGTCTTTAAAAAATGAAAAGGGGTTTGAGTTTACCTATAGCTTAGAGCTGGGATAATATTTTTCCAGGGCTCTTCATATCAGAGAACATAGAAATGGCCCCAAATATTGAGCTAAATATTATAATGACATTCCTTAAAATGAAATTCCATTACAATTAATAGAAAACCATTTTACAAAACTACCTATTAACTACACTTCAGTGGCATTCCATTATGTAAAATAAAGTCTAATATGGTTTGCAAAGCCTTCTGGGATCTAGTCCTATGCTTCTCAAACTTTACTATTCATGCGACTCACCTGCAGATCCTGTTAAAATGTAGATTCTGATTCAGCAGCCTGCACTTGGGCTGGAGAGTCCCCTTTTCTACTAAGTTCCACAGACCACACCTTGAGTACCAAGGATCTAGCCCAAGTTCATACCTCACCACTCCCCACACTAAATTTTGTGAATTATTGCTCTTCTCCACACACCATGTTCTTCATACCTGCATGCCTTTTTATATCTTATTCTTTATCACAAAGGGTTATCCCCTTACCTCCTCCACTTCAAAAACTTTTACTTGTTATGGGTTTAGTTTAGAAGTTGCAGATATTTCAGGCACATGTAGATGCTGTTTCTTTTGTATTCCGAGGCCCCTACGCATTTTTGTTCAGTTTATCACATTTGTTATTCACCTGTCCACCTCCCTATGAGACCATGAGTTTGAGGATACAAAGTATCTATCCTCAGCACACAGATACTCAAGAAATGTTTTCTGAGTACAAGTCATTAAGGTATCGAGTTTCTGCCACCACCTTTGAAACTACAGTTGTCACAATCACTTTTATTCCATAACATTTTCTTCAAAAGTAATATTCAGTAAAAAACACTGTCAAATTATTGAAGATAATCTCAAGTTAAAATAGAAGATAATCTCTTAAGTTAAAATATAAGACAACATTTATATTCAAAATTAAAGTAAAATGTAACTATTTGATGAGACATTTACCTTATTGCTAGAAAAGAGTCACATTAATTTCACTCTATGTTGCAGTAAAAAGGGCAAAACAAAGATTGTACTCTTTTAATTCAAATACTTAAAGAAAAACAAGAATGGCATCAAATTTCTAATATTCCTTTTCCCCATTAAATTAATTAGGACGTTTATCATATTTTAAAAACAAATGACAGAATAGTATCTTAAATCAAATGCTCACACAGCAGCCCTCTCTTTACCACTCACCTTCCTCATCTATCCATTTCATGGTGAAAAGCTGTTCGTTGTCAAAAGAACACATGTCTCGAACCTCACTGCAAAGGCCCTCAAAGGAGATCGAGGGTTCAAAATGTGTTATCATGATATCCCTGAAAAAGAAAAGGGGTTTTGAGTTTGACAAAGATTAAATCTACATATTACTGCATGCCTGACAATTCGATAGACTTCAGCTATTTTGCGTGTGCATCAACTTGTGCTGCTTCCAGCAAACTCTCTGTAAAGTAAAAAATACATTATCAATACTAAATAATGCTTAGAAATAAAAATAGTGGATTTGTAAGAAACCTTAACTCAGTTTCCCCTCCTTATTCAGGAAGCACACCCTAACTCCTCTAACACACAGTAGCCCTGCTTCCGCTTAACGTTAGCAGAAGCTCACTCTTTAGTGAGGCATTGCCCTCCACAGATGAATAGCTCTATTGTTGATAAACTTCTGCCTTATATTTAACCGAAATCTGTTCCAATCACTAGTCCCCTCCCCAAAGTCTACCCTTTGTCCAAGAGATGGCTCTTCAATAATTTGACACAGAGCTGTCATGTCCTCTTCCTCAGCCCTGACTACACAGATTAACCACCCATGAGATTATCAACCATTCTTTGCAGGATCTTCAGATCTCACACCTTCATTTTCACATTTTTCTGAAAGAATTCCCATTTGCCAAAATTGTTTTTAAAATATGATTCATCTTTTAAGGTAGAGACCCAAAAAAACATAAGAATAGACATAAATGTGTATTTATTTTTGTATCTGTTAGATAAGGAACAGTATTTAAATAAATCCACCTAGCAGCTATTCACTGTAAGACTTAGAATTGCAACAAAATGTTTTAAGCAGAGGGCTGAGGTTTCCTCCAAGGAGCAGTGAGAAGGCTCCCTATGATCTGATCTCCACACAGTAGCCAGCTATAGTCATCCTTTCAAAAGTAAGTCAAATAGTGATGACTCAAATTTAACAAACACTCATATAGGGATCTCTATGTGTCACACTCTGTTTTAAGGATTTGATAAAATTAATATAGTTCATGGCATTCCTCTATTTTAAACTCTTAAAAGTCCTGTCCCCTCTCCTGCAGAGTAAAATCCAAAGTCCCTAGCAGGGTCTACAAGGCCCTGTGTGAACTGGCCCTGGCTACCTCTCTGACCCACCTCTTCTACCACCAGACGGATGAACTGAGGTTTACAGTCCACCATCTACCCCAGCTAGAATGTAAGCTTGGTGCAAGTAGGGATTTTGTTTTGTTCATTATATTCCTAGCAGCCAATGCAGTGCCTAACACAGAAGAGGTACTGGATAAATATTTGTTGAAGAAAGCAAGGAAATGACACCATAAACTGTGAACAAACATGGGTATTTAGAACATAGAATACAGAGTAGGAAGTAAGGAATTAAAAATTTTAGTCATCTGCAAAAAAAGTTAAAACTGCAGGGGCTATAGAAGGTAAGCAGAGAGCCAAGCATAGAAATCAAATGGCCTTATCTTGATAATCATTCTCTTTCTAAGCATCTCATAGTTTTCTGCCCCTCCCTCTCAGAACCCTCTAGCCTTGGCTTTCATAACACTATGCTTCTCTGGCTCTCTTTCTACTATTCTGAACACAAGCCTCCTTTTGTCTTCAATCACAAGACATTCTTTACATCCTCTCTCATATTCATGCTCTGTCTCTCTCTCTTTCCCTCTGAAACCTAACTCACATTCAGTGTTTTAACTATTATCTCTATGTAGGCTCTACTAAATCTGTGATTCCAGCTCCCTGTGAGGTATTAAGACTCTTGATAATCTGGTTCTAATTTCTATTCTCAACTTGATCCCACCATTCCCAACACAAATACTCTACTACAGACAGCAGGTTTACTCACACCCCCACACATAAGACCTTGAACATACAAGTTTTAATCCTGACATTTCTTCAGGAAATTTAAGGCTTAGTTTAGGGAGGAAGGTGGGGACCAATCCTTAACTGGCATTTCAACATCAACTTCCATTAAATCTTCTTCAACCACACAAGTCCAGTGGTCTATCCTTCTAAGCCTGTCCAACATGTATCTTATGCTCCATCTTTTGTTATTTCACTCATCATATACTGATAACACATCCTCAACTAAAGTGTAAACAACTGGAAGGCAAAAATTCTTGGACTTTTTAATATATTCACATAACTACTAACATAATAGGGACTCAAATATTTCCTAACTGAAGGCAGAAGAAATACTTTCTAGGAGAAACTTATTTTTCAGAAAATGTACCTTTTTTTTTTCTGGTGAGGAAGATTGGCCCTGAGCTAACACCTGTGCCCGTCTTCCTCTATTTTATATGTGGGTTGCCGCCACAGCATGGCTTGATGAGTGGTGTAGGTCCCCACCCAGGATCAAAACCTACGAACCCGGGCCATCAAAGTGGAGCATGCTAAACTTAACCACTAGGCCACCGGGCCAGCCCCAGAAAATGCACTTTTGACAAGGAAATATTACTGTTTGTTTCCTTTGCCTATAAACATTTATAGAATACTTAGGATGTTCTAGGTGTTTAAACGAACTTTATCTTATATAGTCTTCACAATAACTGCCAAACTAGACATACTAATCCTATTTTACAGATTTAAAAAGCAAAGCATAACGGCATATTTGCCAGAGTCTCACAGTTAGGAAACAGCACATGAACTCAAATTCAAATCTCCTAATGACACTCAGGGTAGACACTGTGATCTGCCTTCTCCCTCCCCACCCCATCCCCAGAATCCCCCACTAGCAACAGAGCATTTATTATACCACCTACTGGGAGCGCTACCAGTAGACAATTCCCAGTCATCAGCCTCCTTCAGAGATCTGACTCCTTGCCTATGGTCACACCCCACTCCTGAAGCAGCCTACAACCAATGACTGATTCACTGTGGGGGTATAAAGATCCTAGACATGACTCGGAAAAGCTCTAAAGTGTCAACTCATCTTCAGAACTCCCCCGAGGGTCAACTGAGGTTTCTGTTGAGACTTCAGGGCAGCTTGATTTTTTCCTATCTAAGCTTGCTTCCCCCCTTCTCTTCCACAGCTGTCAATCCTGAGCACTCCCGAAGAAACCTCCTGCATGCTCATCTGAGACACCACTTTCCCAATGCATAGCTATTATCAGATGATAAGTTTGGACAAAAACATAATGGATACAAACAGTCAATATCACTTTTGAGAGACTGGCTAATGAAAAATGTAATCCTGATTTTGGAGATTAAATTAGTCTACTTTAGTACATAAGCTAGTTAATTTTTTTATTCTTCAGAAAAATACATTGTTAGCATATATAAATTATATATATTTTATTGTCTGTCTCCCCAACTAAACATAAAATCCATGAGAGCAGGCACTTTTTTTGCTCACTGCTGTATCACCAACAACCTCAGGCAGTGTCTGGCTCAGAGTGGACGTTCAATTAATATATGTTGAGTGAAAAGAGGTGTCACACGTTGGACTCTAAAGAAAGCATGGGGAAATGTAAAAATAAAAAGCATTCCAGAAAGGAGTAATGGCATATAAGAGGCAGGCACAGCATAATGGTTAAGACCATGAGAGCTAAAGCCAGGATGCTTGGGTCTGAATCCAGGCTCTGTCACTTACCAGCTGTGTGACCTTAGGTGAGTTACTTAACTACTCTGTGACTCAATTTCCTCATCTATAAAATGAGAATAATAATATCTCATATGGTATTATAAGGATTTAATGAATTAATATTTATAATACTTAGAATAGTGCCTAGCATATAGCACACTCTATACATGTTTAATAAATTTAAAGAGCATTATGTACTCATGTAATACTTTAAATAGAAGTGAAGCCTCACTAGAGAGATTAAAAATGATCCAACCTTCTAAAAGCAACGCACAGATGCTTCTGGTTTAATATGGTAGCACGAACACACATCTATATCCTTTCATCCTAAGGGCCCACTGAAATGACAGAAAACTGAAATGACAAATTATCAAAGTCTTAGAAAACAAAAAAGGCACCAGCAGCAGACCAGAAAGTATGAGAAAATCCTAGATGATTAAAAACAGACAGGATAAAATTGACCAAGAAAATATATCAGCCCTAAACAAAGTTAAGGGGAACCTTCAAAAGAGAGAAGTTTTATTGACACAAGATTACTTTTCCTTCTCTAAGCTTCTAATCACACTAGTACTTGGCTCTTTAAGTGCGTAACACTTATATAAGCATTCTTTATAAATGCTTTTTAAAATCACTTTAAAGAAAAATTTATGAGTTAAAGAATAGAATAATGTTATAAACCTTTACAACGTAAAAATTACTAAGAAAAATCAAGATGTGGAGAAAGCGAAAGGACGTGTAAATTCAAAAATGTCTCTATCTAAAACTAATAATTTAAAAATAAAAGCAGGGTAGAGGGATGCACTTATATGGTGACTGATAAACAATAATGTACAACAAAAATTTCACAATAAAAATAAATAAATAAAAATAAAAGCAGAGAACAAGAAAAAAATAAATAACCCAAATAAACAATGGGCAAAGGACTTGAACAGACATTTCTTGAAAGAGGATATACAAATGGCCAACAAGCTCATGAAAAGATGTTCAACATTACCAGTCACTGGGGAAATGCAAATGAAAACCACAATGAAATATCGCCTCACACCCATCAGGATGGCTACTATCAAAAAAAACAGAGAATAACAAGCGCTGACAAGGATGAAGAAACAGGAGCCCTGTGCACTGTTGGCGGGAATGTAAAACGGTGCAGCAGGTATAGAAAACTGTAAGAAGCTTCCTTAAAAAATTGAAAATAGAATTCCAGATGCCAGCAATTTCACTTCTGGGTATATATTCAAAAGAACTGAAAGCAGGGAATCCAACAGCTGTTTGTACACCCATGTTCATAGTAGCATCATTCACAAGGGCCAAAAGGGGAAGCAACCCAGGTGTCCATCAACAGATGAACAGATAAAGAAAATGTGATATATAAATATGACGGAATATTATTCAGCCTTGAAAAGAAATCCTGAGACATGCTACAACATGAACGAACCTTGAAGACATTATGCTGAGTGAAAGAGGCCAGTCACAAAAAAGACAAATACTGTATGA